TGAAACTGCATAGACATTTCATGTGCCATATTTGCTGTCTCTGTGTGACCACCTGGTGGTGTAGAGCCGTAGTTAAGAGTATGTATGCTACAGCTGGACTGCCTAGGTTCAGGCTTCTCCATTTATAAGCTGTGCATCCTTGGGCAACTTCCTTAACCTCTCTGAGCTTAGTTTCCTTATTTGTAAAATTATAATCATAATAAGACTTAACCTGGTAGGGTTATGAGTTAATGTGTGTAAAGTATTCAGAATGATGGCTGGCATCAAATACACGCTCAGTAAATGGTGATAGCTGTCCCTGTCCCAGAGCCTGGAGCAAAGTCTATGCACAGTTGGCACTCAGTATTTGTTAAATGAATACATATGGATTGCTTTTCACCACTATTACCACAGCTCTGCTCTTCTCAATCTTCCCTAACGATTTGGGCTGATGGCATGGCAGGTTGGAGTTTCTCTGTCTAGAAAGGGTCTTAGACACTATTAGCCCACCTCTCTTCGTTTTCCCACATTCCAACTCCTAGCAACCCTGTAGAGCATAGTAGAACTTCCCCACAGTGTTTCCAAGGCTATAAATCTTTGTGGAAGCAGATGGCCACATCTTTCTCCTGCCAAGTGGCTGGTGGGCTCAAGCTGCTAATCTTTCAGTTAGCAGCCAAGGCTCCTTGTGATGGTAACAGCTACCATTTATTAGCACTAATTGTGTGCTGTGCTGAGCCCTTAACTTGCATATTTTATTTCATCCTCAGAATTAGCCTGAGGAGTAGGTACTGTTAATACCTCCATTGTACAGATGAGCAAACCGAGCCTGGCCTCACATGACTAGTGGCAAGTAAGGGAGCTGGGCCTCTTTAAAACTCATGTCCTTAGTTTGGAAACTGCTCTGCTTCTCTGACATCAGTTTCCTTATCTGTAAAATGAGGGGGCCTTTCCTCACATAATTTCACATATTTGGAGTTGTCCCAGGCCCCCTAAGTTGAGTCAGGTTGCCCTGCATGAGCAGGTTCTACTTGGAGAGTTTAGAGGCTGGTGATGGAGTCCCTAGGTGACACAGATGGTTAAGCACTAGACTGCTAACCAGAAGGTTGGTGGTTCCAACCCATCCAGAGGCACCTCAGAAGTAAGGCCTGGTGAACTGCTTCCAAAAGGTCACAGCCTTGAAAACCCTGTGGAGCAGTTCTCCGGACACACAGGGTCACCATGAGTTGGATCAACTCCAAGGCAACAAACTTTAACAACACTGGTTTGATGTAGAAAGTTCGTAAGGCATCTCCACCCCTCTCCCTGGGGTCTTAGCATTAGCGGTACACCCAAGTCAGTCTGGCACAAGACTTGGTCCTGTTCTAACCTTCGGGTGTTTACATTAGGCCACAGATTGCAGCTTGCTTCTTCTTCAGGATTGGAGTCTAACTTGCTCTCCCCTGCTTATATCCACTGGCAGCTCCCCATTGCAGTCTGAGTGAATTCCAAGATCCTTGATCCAGCCTTCAAGGCTTCTTATGGTCTGTGATGCATAACCCCCAGCCACATTTCTCACTCCCCTCTGCACCCAAAACCACAGCCAAGGCGACACTCTCTCTGGTGTCTCGGTACCCCTGGGGTGCCCTTCCTCCCTCTCCATGCCGTCTGCTCCAGTGGACCTCCTGACCCCCATTCTGTCCCTCCTCCATGCCCCATAACCTCCATTCTTCCCTCCAGCAAGGCATTTGTATCTCTATCATCTGTTGTAGTCCACCTTCCTTCAAGACCAGGTCAGTCAGCGGGCTGTCCCCACATTAAAGTGCAGTGCTGGGCACAAACTGAGCTCCTAAGGGTGCTGGGTGGTATGGTGGGGTACGTGAAAAAGAGTTGGAAGTCTGGGCCTGCCTTTCAGGAGCTACCATCTACCTCTGAGGGAATGCTTGCTTCTGTAGCAAAATGAGCCATGGTGGTGTACGTGCTTGGCTATTAACCAAAAAGTTGGCAGTTCAAACGCACCCGTGGGATAAACAAACTGGAGATCTACTTCTGTAAAGATTACAGCCATGAAAACCCTACGGGGCAGTTCTACTTTATCACATAGGGTCCTATGAGTTGAAATCATATCACCACCACCACCAATGGCAAAAGGAAAGTGAAACCAGTTGCCAGTGAGTCGACTTCACCTCCTGTAAGACCTGTGGGTGTCAGAGGACTGCTCCATGGGGTTGCAGTGGCTGATTTTTTACAAATAGATTGCCATATCTTTCTTCTGAGGTGCCTCTGGGTGGAGTGGACTCAACCTGCAGCCTTTTGGTTAGCAGTCCAGGGCATGAATCGTTTGCACCACCCATACAAACCGAAAAACACCAAGCCCACTGCTATCGAGTCAACTCCATCTCACAGCAACCCTATAGGACAGACTAGAACTGCCCCTCTGGGTTTCTAAGGCTCTAAATCTTTCTCTCAGGGAGCAGCTAGTGGGTTTGAGCAGCCAAGCTTTTGGTTAGCAGTAGCAGCCAAATGCTTTAACCCCTGCACCACCAGAAAGAAGGCTGTGCTAAAGCGAGCGGAGCATTTGCAGCTAAGGGAAGTTTCTTGAAGGAAATGGGACTTGAGCTGTGAGAAATGGGTGGGGTTGTAAAAGCAGAGGAAATATTTCATATTCATAAGATAACACCTAACAGTGAGTGCTGCTGTGAACCAGGCACAGGTGTTTCGTCTTTACAGCAGTCCTATGGAGGCAGGATCTCTTAGTGTGTCCAATTTACAGATGGGGCAACTGAGACTCAGAAATCTGGGATGACTTCCCAAGGTTGCACAGTTAGTAAGCAGCAGAGCAGAAGTCTCAACCCACACAGGCTGGATCCAGCGCCCACGCCAGGAGCAGAGATGCAAAACTGACTTTCTAGAATGAAGGTTAGCCGGTTGTGCTGTGGACAAGGACCTTGCGTTAAATGCTGAGGACATAGTAAGTGGTCAGTGAACACAGCTGAGCTGAACTCAGTGGGCTTGGCAGGAATAGAGGGCTTGGTGCTGCCCGACGATGGAAAGTGCATGTTCAGAGAGGCTGTGGCCTTTATTCTCCAGGCAGGGAACAGCCACTGGAGGCATTCAGAATAGTCAGATGTTTGAGGCCTGGGATGGAGTGGGAGCTTCCGCCCTCCTGGATAGCAATAACTGACCAATGTTCTTTCCTCTTCTCTCCTAGTTCTCTCAGCTAATTAAGATCTTCCATTCTCTGGGTCCTGAGAAGTTCCCGCTTGTGGAGCAAACGTTCTTCCCCAACCATAAACCAATGGTGAGTGCCCTTCTTCTATTCTGCTTATCTTTGCAATATGGGAGCCAACACAGATGCCCAAAGGGAATCCTTTGGATGAAGGAGGTGGGGTCAGGGGCCTCAGATCTAAGGAAGAGCAGTGATGTGCGTGAGAGGCCTGGCTTTTAGAAGGAAGGAGTTATCTGTCCAGGTGAAATCCCAGTTAGTTGTACAAATGATAAAGGTGGATGCAGGGATGTTTGGCAAAACAGAGGACAATTTGAGCTGGCAGCAACAGACACTGGATATTGAAGTGTGAGGTTAATAATGAAGATAAAAGGTGTTTCAGAGGCCAGATGGGATTTCACTTGAGCCTTGTTTGGGATCTGCTTTCAACTTCTATTTCAATAAAATCCCTAATATTCTATTTGTACTCATTATCAAAGGGCAGTTTCTTTGTGTGTCCTTTTCACATTCCAACTCTGAAGTCATCTCTACGAAGTGGTTTCAGCTTCACTCAGAGTACATGGTATAGCTTCCCATTGGGAGAACCCCTGGATGGGAGTTGTTGACATCTTTTAGAAAGGAGTCCAGAGCTATCTGTCCTGCAGCAGGAACAAGTTGGCCTGGGGGAGTTCTGGAAGCTGCTTATGGCATGCCTGTGTGCATGGTTGGTGATCTTAAACTGGTCAAAGGAATGGAGGGCTGTGGTCCCATGCTTGGCCTTGTGGGAAACATGAGTCTTGGGTAGTGGATAGGGTACCTACAGTCCCAGTTTGGGACCATGGGCTATTAGTGGAATCTCAGGCTCAGGATGCTGAGCAGGCTAAGCCTATTGGGAGGCAGGAATGCAGGCTCTGGTGGGAGCTGTCTGACCAGGCAGAATTTTCCGTTGGTTGTCTTTCCCTTTTGCCTGATGCAATGAGAGTCACAGGAACCGGGATGTGCTGGTTTAGAACAGAATGTATGGAGCACAGCCTGCCCTGGTAAAGTACAAACATGGAGAAGAAAATTCAGGGCTTATGGTCAAGCTGCCTGTTTAGCAGGGGACCACCTTGGGCAGTGGGGTCCCTGGGTGGTGTCAATAAGTCACGTGCTCTGCTGCTAACTGACAGGTAGGGGGTTCAAGCCCACCCAGGCCTCAGAAGGAAGGCCTGCTGATTTACTTCAATGAAACGAGCCATTTCATTGAAAACCCTCTACTCTGACATACGTGGGGTTGCCATGAGTCAGAGTCCTCGCCATGACAGCCGGGGATGGTGTGGGGGACCTTGGCTAATGATGAAGCTCTCCAGGAGCCCCGCCTTCTCAGTGAAAGCCGTGGACCGTAGTGGAACTACTTCCTCCGGTATTGAGATTGAATGTGATAATGTGTGGAAAGCACTGTGCCTGACCTGACAGCTGCTCAGTGTGTGTTGTTATCAGGAGCTGTTCAATTATCTGCTCATGGTGATCCCATGTGACAGAGTAGAACTGCCCCGTAGGGGCTCCGAGGCTGCCGTCTTTACAGAAGGCATGCTGGTGGGGCAGTGGTTAAACACTCAGCTGCTAACTGAAAGGCCAGCAGTTGGAACCCATCAGCTGCTCTGCATGAGAAAGATGAGGCAGGCTGCTTCTAGAAAGATTACATCTTTAGAAACCCTGTGGGTTTCTCCTCTGTCCTATAGGCCTCTGTGCGTCAAAGCTGACTTGACGGCAGTAGGTTCGGTTTTGGTAATCTCTGCAGAAGCAGAGCACCAGGTCTCTCTCCCGTGGAGCTGTTGGGTGTGTTGAAGCCAACTTTTGGGTCAACAGCTGAGTGCTTAACCACTGTGTCACTGGGTCCCCTTGCTTAAAGTGTAATAGCTATAAAATAGGGGTTAAAAACTGTACCTTAGAACATAGTCAATAGTGGGATGAAAGTTGAGTAAGGTGTCTGCAGCCAGCCCAGCTGACTGAGGATGCCAGGCCCGGCTGTGAGCTTTGGGAGAGAGTCACTGGCTTCAATGGGGACTCATGAGTTCCTGGCATTCCCAATGAGACCAAAGTGAATTTGAAATTTCAGGCAGGCTGCTGGTATCAAGGATCGCTCTTTGCAGGCCTCCCTTCCCACCTCCATCAGGTTGGCATCCTTCGGGAAAATATTAGCAAGGCTGAGTCAGGGCCCCATTTTGGGAGTACCTGTACCACCATCAGATGATTAGATAACCAGTTAACTAGTTGTGTCATTGAGTCAATTCTGACTCACGGTGATCCATGTCAGAGTAGAACTATGCTCCATGGGGCTTTCAGTGGCTGGCTTTTCAGAAGGAGATCACCAGGCCTTTCTTCTGAGGTGTCTCTGGAAGGACTTGAACTACCAACCTTACAGTTTGCAGCTGAGCACATTAACCATCTTCATCACCCAGGGACTCTAGAGAGTCAGATACCACAGAACCAGGGAGAACCCTGCCTCGCACGAGAGAGTAAGAGACCAGCGTCACATCAGCAAGCAAGAGGAAGTCTAGGATGCCGGTCCTGAAATTCCTCCTGCCCCAGGAAAGGACTGGGACAAGTGGGAATTAATTTGCACTACATATGGGGTGGGTCAGGGCAGAGGAGTGCACAGATCTGGATCCAGGGCATGCAGGCCATGTTTACAAGGCTCCCCACTGTCTATAAAACCCCCATCGGCCGTCAAGACACAATGAAGCAAGAGGCGTCAGGTGTGTGATAGAAATAGAACCACTTTACTGTTTAGAATAAAGGACACACTATAAAAAGTGGACATTATGCAACATTACAAGACAATATACATTCACGGAATATAAAATTCATAAATAACATGGAGGAAAACTGTAAACAGTGCTACAAAATTTCGCAACAAATACATTCCTTCCACACAGGGTTTCCTCTGGTTGGTTTCTCTCCATCACTTCTGAGTGTCAGGACAGCAGACTGGCTAAAGAGAGGTGCCAGGGGTAGGGCCCGGGGAGAGGCACGAGAATCAAAGACGCTCCTACCCCCAAAGCACGACCTGCTTTCTAAGTTCTTCCCCTTCTTTCACCTCAAAGAGCCAATGTGAATGCTGTTGATATCCACCTTCCTCAGACATACACCCCATCCTGTTCGGCATTTACCATTTGAATTTTAAAGTGTTTCTCTCAGAAAAAAAAGACTATTGAAAGTCTGACTTCAGGTAGCCCAGAGTCAAACACTTGGGTGCCATCTTGGGGTAATCCACACTGGTGACAGTCACACACCAAATGAGAAAGGCTGAGCAGCAGAGAGTACTAGCTTTCAGGGGGCATCCGTATCTCCAAGACAGAGCTATTCCAAAAAGCCATTTGTGTCTTTTCTTACCCAAGAACCAGTATGGATAATGGTGCTCCTGGGCTATATAGTTCAACTGCCATGATGAGATTCCAGGGCTCAGGGAGGGTAGATAGGAGTCTCTCAGAGTTGCCTACCCTGGCCAGACCAGAGCTCTATACTGACAAGTGAGAGAGGAGAAATCATGACTTCCCTGTTGGGTGGGCCAGTTGCCACCAGACAAGGTCATAAATGTCCTGTTTTCTTCCTCCTCCTTCCTACTCTAGAAGCCACTGGAAGTCCTATGGGGAGGAGGCTGGAGGAGTCTGGGTGCCAGTTCCCTCTGGTTCTCCCAATTCGCCAGTCTAACTGCCTGCAGGGCAGAAGTATTTTACCCTCCATTCCACTGTAGAATTTGATTCAGGAAAATGGCGGCATGTGGGTTTGATTTTTTTTTTTTTCTCTTAAACACAATGTACACATATTACAGCCTACATATGACACGAGATTTAGCAAAAAATAAAACATCCATGATATGATTGAAATACTGAAGTGTCTCAGCTACATAAATGATTTTAAATTATACAGTAAGTGAACAGGTGAAATAAACAAAGCTATAGCTTACAGAAAGCTCAAAAACCGCCCTCTGACATCATCACTCTGCCAAGGACCCTCTTTGCTGGGAACCTACTCTTCTCCTCACCAGGCCTGGCAGGTGGGACAGTGGTTCACCAACTTTGCTGCTCTAGAGGGAAACATTTAGTGGCTCATGCTCAGGCCTCACCCCATGCCCCTCCTTGTGTGAGAGGCAATGACCTGATGTCCCCTTATGGTGGGCACTTGTGTGGGTTGCGTCAGAGGCTCCATCCTACTGGACTTTTGAGGTTGAGATAAAGATAATCCCATTACACCAAGTCTCGGTGGACCACAGAAACCACTAGCTAGCTGACCTCAGCGCCTTCCACTCCCACGGCTCTGTGGAGAGGGCCACGTCTTCCATTTTCCCTCTCCCAAATGCCACAACCACAGGGTCAAAGGTACAAGGTAACAAAGTCAATCCCAAGGAAACCCAAGCCTGCACCGTCTTCCCCCTCTGGATTTCTGCCAAACGCATGCCTGTGTGTTTGTGTGTGTGTGTGTGTAAGACACTAAAATGTGGTATCTACATCTTTTATCCTCCTGTTTTGATGGGCAGTCTGTTTCCTAGGGTGGAATGAACTGAAGATACAAACACTAATAGGACAGGATAAATACCCATAATCTTAAAAGAGAGAGTAATCATGTTACATGATGGTGATCCTACCATGCCCAACTCTGTAAAATATACATTATCCCCTACTCTCAGCATCTCGCTTTTGACACTAAAACTTAAAATAATTTTATTTAATAGGAGAATTTATATTATAGTTTCATTTCCAAAAAAAAAAAAAAAAAACCACAATAAAAACCCTACAGCGTACTGCAGTCAGGCTTTGCCACTAACCACCGATCTGAATTCCATGAGGTGAGAACCTCAGAGGTGGCCTTTTCTCACGTGTGAGCTGGGTGAAGGGCAGCAAGCTGTCCCCAAGCCCAGAAGAGGGGGTCATCTAGCCAGGGTGGGACACTCTGCAGCTTTCCCTCCTATGCCCAGGACCCTGACCCACACACACATCTCTCATCTGAGTCAACTCAAGAAGGCAGTTCAAGGAAGGCCCCCAGACATGAAGCAGGAAGAGAGGAGAGGGGCAGAGGTCAGATGACCCCAGTTATGGGGAAAAGAGTGCTGGGGGTGTACAGATTTTAACTACAATGAAAAAATGGCAACTTGGAATGTCATGGTTTTCTTCAAACAAGCAACGACAACAAATAGAAGAGAGACGCTATTGGCGTTTTTAACAGCATTGAACAGAATTCTGTGTCCTATAAAAAAATTAGCTTATGTCCCCGTGTGGGTATATGCAAATGGGTATAGAAACACATCCCCCTAGGTGAGCTAAACGCTACTTTGGAAACAGTACTCTCTACCAAATCAACTTGGCTGTATCTGTGGATAGTATCTGGGGTGTCTATTTCTCCGATTTACATAAAGGCAAGCTTTCTGCCAAATCAACCAAAAAGTTTTCCAGGAGCAAATCTTGTGGGAGGCAGGGAGAAGAAAGGCATTCCCCTCCGTCTTTCACCTGAGCTTTTGTACAAAAACCAGTTACTGTCGAGTCGATTCCGACTCATGGCGACCCCATGTGTGTAGAGTAGAACTGCACTCTGTAGGGTTTTCAAAGCTGTAACCTTTCGGAAGCAGTTCAACAGCCCTTTTTCAAGGTGCCTCTGGGTGGGTTCGAACCACCAACCTTTTGGTTCGTAGTTGAGTGCTTAACCATTTGTATCATCCAGGGACTCCAAGAGCTTTTGTACAAGGCATGCAAATTGCCTCCTGGCTTCAGGCAGATGTTTAAGTCTTCACCAACTAAGAAAGTTCTGTTATTCTGGCCTGGCCACTTACCCCAGACTCAGAAACATGGCACCCCTGGGCCCACCATCAGTCAACCCGAGCATCTCTGGCCTGGGGGGAAATGTGTGTCCTGTGTCATCTCAGACCCTCTCTTGCAGTCTCTTCTTCCCCTACCTCTGTCCTATCTGCAGACACAGACAGACACAGTCTAGTTGGGACATGCAGGAGCATCTCCTTGGTGTGTAAAATCCTCCACGTGCCTTCAGTCTATCTGCTTGCTGCCCATGACTGATCCTGAAACAGCTGGCCTTTCAGCAACTTCCTTGTCTGTGTCCTTTATGTGCTGGGATGGAGGAAAAGAGAAAAGGGAGCAGAGTCTAGGAGTTGGGGAAGTGGGCGAGAAGAAAGAGGGGCAGGTATTACAATGCCCAACTGGGGTAGTTTTTCAATTTCTGTTTTCCTAAAAAAATATAGATTATATTTTCACAAGGAAGAGGAGTATGTGTTCCTCTTTCTTTCTGGCATGGCACCAAAAATGCCCAAGTAGAAATGGGTGATGGCCAAACCAAAAAGAAGGGGCAGAGTGGGGCTGGGAGAATGATTACAAATAAACTCCTTATGATAGAATTTTCTTTTAAGTGATCGAAGTGCTAAATTTGCAAGAAAACAGGCACTAATTTCATTGTCATCATCATTTGGGAAGAGTTAGTGTCCAAGGAAAGCTCAGCGGGAAGGGAGAGAGGTGAGGTGGGGCAGGGTCTGTACTCAGGGGTCTGTGGCATTGATGATGCTTTTGTCCGGGGGGGCCCATCCTCGGTACCAGCTGCAGTAGCCGCCCTTCTGCCGGATACAGGCGTAGTGTTTGGACTGGTAGCCAGGGAAGCCAAAGTTGGAGAGCATGTCGGTCCAGAGGCACTCGTTCTTGGAGGTCACAAAGCAAGGCAGGTAGTAGCAGGACTTGATCTGCAATTAGAGAATAGACAGTGGTTGGTGGGTTCTGCCATGGGGGAGAGGTCCACAGGAGGAGCTGATGCTTGTCAAAGTTTGGTTTCAGAACCTGGGGTAACTGCAGGGGGAGTCCCAGCCACAGTAAGCCATTTGTGATGGTAATAATCTAAATAACAATGTTACTTTCCTGAGACCAGAAGAACTAGATGGTGCCCGGCTACTCCAGTAACTGATCTGACCAGGGACACAATAGATGATTCTGGTTAGAATGGGAGACGAATGCAAATTCTTTAAAATGGCCAGACTAACAGGAGCCCGAGACCAGAGGACTCCCTGAGACTGTTGTCTTGAGATGCTCTTTAAACCTTGAACCAAAACTATCCCACGATCACCTTTTAGCAGAAAAGCAGAGTGACACACACTATAAAGGATACTGCTCATTAGATCGGCGCAATACTAAAAACCACCTGTATGAGTCCCAAAGGTCAACATTTAATCCAGAGCAAAGATGAGAAGATGGGGGCAGGGAAACTTGAGTACGAGAAATGGAAACCAGAACACAACAAATAAGAATTCTGACAGTGTGAAAAATGGAACTAATGCCATTGCCCAATTTGGGTGGAAATTGCCAAAGGGGAACCAAACTTGCTGTGTAAACTTTCACCAAAAACACAGTAAGGTATTATTATGTTCTTTCAAAAATAACAGTGTTCCTAATGTCTGTCAACTCACTGAAGACCTTGTGTATAACAGAAGCAAACGCTGCCTGGTCCTGCACCGTCTTCACAGTCTTTGATGTTTGAACTGACTTTTGAGGCTTCTGGGTCAGTCCATCTCACTGAGGGTTTCCCTCCTTTTTGGTGACCCTCTAACTTTACCATAATGTTCTTTTCTGGGGATTGGTCTTTCCTGATGGTGTGTCCAAAATAAGCAAGACAATGTTTTGTCATCCTTGAGCATGTATCAAGGATGCAGCTGACTTTCTGCTAAGTGCTTCTCCATTATTTCCTTCCTTCTCGTAACCATTTTAGCTCCCTTGAACAGAAGAGGAAATAGGGACTCAGAGTGGTTAAGTAACTTTCTCTGGGTCACACAGCCCGTAACTAGTAAAGTTAGACATTTGAGAAGGCTTTTCCCTCTCAAATGATAACACGCAAGGATGGGAATTCTCAATTGTTCCAAGGAACTGAGGAATTAGAGAAATGAAACCATAAGCTTTAGAATCAAGCTATCCTGGTTTAGAAATCAGACTATGAAAGCTGTGTGACATAAGGCAAGTTACTTAAACTCTCTGAGCCTCCATTTCCTCATCTGCAAAATGGGGATAATAATAGTAACTGACATCACACAGGCGTACCGTAAGGATTAAGTGCCAGAATGGCCCGCCTCTGTCCCACAGGAGGCAGGAGGCTATGCCCTGGTGGTCCTGTGCCTGGGTTAAGGGTTTGGGCCTACTTGGAGAGTGCCCTTCTCTAGTCTCTGGCACCAACAGCCCTGTGCCTGCTCTCCTGCTGGAGCAGGGGCCATCAGTGAGTCAGCTGCCAGGGTGACCTCATTGGTGACGGCTTGGCAGGACCTGCTAGTGTAAGGATCCCATACCTGCTACAGCCTTGCACTGCCTGGAGGGGCTGAGATGCTGAAGAGTTCAGCTGCTAAGTGGAAAGCATGAAGGTGGCAGATTCCAGCAGAAAGGCATTCTGCCCGGGCTGGCTTCATGCTCACCCCAGGGCTACATTCCTAGCTCTGCCCCAGCCCCACACACCCACCCTGCCCCACCCAAGGGCCCAGCACCTTGTACCAACAGGGGCTGATGTCTGCAGCTACAGCTGGCTCCCCACCCACCCCTCCTCCCGCCAGGGCTCACCTTGCAGTTACAGCCCAGATGATACCGGTAGTTCAGCCCCTTGCGCTGGGAAAGGGTGAGCTGGTCCCATCTCTCCACAAAGTTGCACAGCCCAGTGTACATCTTGCCATCATAGACACGGCCTAGAAGAGGAAAGACAAGGAAAGTTGTCTTCTCCTGCGTCCAGCCAGAGGAAGAGAATTCACACCTACTGGGTACCTGCTTTAGGCCAGGTACTGTGTTAGGTGCTTTGCAGACTATTGATTCTATTTCATCTGCCTAAAAACCTCTTAAGATAGACCATATCCTCACCTTCCAGGTGCTTCACCTGAAGGTCAGAGAGATTAAGCATTTACCAAAGGTCTCAAATCCATTAAATGCTGGACTTGAGACTAGAGTTCAACCTTCACGTTCCTCATCAAGGCTTGTTGGGGGGGTTTGGGGGCTTTGGATTTGGGCTTTTTTTTTGCTTGCCTGTTGCTTTGCTACTGCCCTAAATAAAGGTGGACAGCTATAAAGGGTAGATCTAGTAGGTGGACTGGGAGGTACAGAGGTATCTACAATCCCTCTTTAATTACAGTAAAGCTGGAAAACTGCAAGATTAGGAGACTCCCCCCACAGGGTCAGCAGTGGAGCTGAGGTTAAAGCCCAGCCTGAGTGTTGGAGTCTTAAGCCCTTGCTCTTGGGCAAGTGGGGAGGATCGGAGTTAAGTGCTCCTCGCCATCTGCTGACACACGGTTAAGGTTCTCAGGACACTGGGAGTCTTCTACCCCTTCTCCATCCTTCCGAAGCGGAGGGATAGTGGGCCTTGGCCAGGCACTGGCTGAGATGCTAGAGCTTTACCTGTCAGCAGGTACTGGTACTTGTTGACTTCCAGCTTAAGGCCACAGAGGCTTTCAGAAGCTTCCGTGTAGATGTACTGTACATGGGGCATCTTGGTGAAGCCTCGGTACATCTGTGGGCAGAAGGAACAGCATGAGAGGGGGCCAGGACCCGGAAAACACTGACAAATTCTATGTGGCCGGCAGAAAGCATACTCAGGCCAAAGAATCTTTTAAGTTTTCAATCTTCTGAGCATCTGATGAAAGCCCAGAAAATGCATACAAAGTTCACAGATTTTTAACAAAATACTTATAGTTATTAAGTTGAACCACATGAAGGTGATGAGTGTGGGCCATTTTGAGCTACAAAATCAGCAGTGTGATGACTAATATGGCGGCTGTCAACCAGAGGCCCTTCTGCCCCTCAGGAGACGTTTGGCTGGAGACAGTGCTGGTTGTCACCACTGGAGGATGCTACTGGCATCTAATGGGTAAGCATCCTACACTACACAGGAGAGCCCTGCCAAAATGACTAAATGCCAGTAGTGCCAAGGATGACAACTGTGCTTTAATGTTAACCCACCTTACCCCTATGACAGCCCTGTGAAGTGAGAACTGTTATCCCCATTTTACAGGTGAGGAGCCCAAGCCACAGGCAGGTTAAGTAACTTGTCTGAGCTCATGCAGTAGGCAAATGGCAGAGCCAGGATGCAGGCAAGGGAGTCTGGCTCCAGAGGCCCTGCCTGTAACCAGTATCCTATGCTCTCTCCCACCTGAGCCTCAGAAGTTCACGACCAAGGGCTTCTGATGCAGACAGAAGATGCCACTCCCATTTATGGCTCCTGTATCAGTGTGTGCTCAGAGCTGCTGGGGTGGTCATCCCAGAGGCTGAACCTACTCTGTGACCCCAGGTCAAGTGCATGAATGTTGTAGGCATGGATCTGTTGAGACAACTCTGCTAACTATGTGAGCTGGCAGGGTGGGAGGAGGGCACTGAGGTGTTGCCCAGCTCCTCCAGTCTTCAGTGTTTGCAGGCCTTGGACTGCCAGTGGTCTCTGGGTTTGTCCTAGGGGTTTATAATAGGGCAATGCCTGCACTTTAGTTCTTGGCATGCGTTATTAATTTACTGTGGTAATTAATAAAAAGCCAGACATCACCTCATTGGTGTCTCATTACCTCTCCTTGGCCTGATTATTTCTGTTGCTGTTGTTTGTTTTTGCCTCTTCATCTGCTTTTAAATGGCAACTGGCTGGCGGGGCTAGGCAGTCCACAAGGACCCTTGCCATCATAAAGTGATCCCTCTGCCCTGCAGAGTTTGGGAGCCTCTGCCTTGTGATAGGGGAATGCTGTTCAGATTGACTCCTGTGCAGATGGTCCTAATTTACCTGGTCTCCCTTCTCCCCGCTGCCCCCCAGGCTTGCCAACTGTACAAGGAAGGGTAGCCAAACCCTGTAGGAAGTGCTCTCCACACTCAGCTTTCAGTTATGTTGCAGGGAATCAGGGTGTCCAGTCACCCCCCACTTCCATGATGATAGCTGGTACCTTGCACACACTAACAGAAACCACATTGCAAAGGGCTGCTGGGAGTATGTCATCTAGTGTGGCATTCGAAGAACATCCCGTACACTTAACTTACTCCCATGCCAACCACCTTCTCATTTGGGTATGGATTTTCCTTGTGTTTTTAGCAAATGTCTCAACTCTTTACCTGCTCAGGTCTTTTAGGCCTGTTCTACTGAACAGAGCTTTCAGAAGACATGCTACGTTACTCTTTTCCCCTTTATCTCCTGTCTGATTTAGGGATGAGAACCAAACCCTGTTCAGAGTAGAGAATCTTGAATTGGTCAGTAAGAACTCAATGTCAAAAGCAACTTGGCATCACTGCTGCTTCTGAGTTTGAAGGAACCTTTATTTTAACATTGTTTCTGGCACTGTGGCACCAACTCAAAATCTTAAAACATGATTGGTCTAACCAATATGGTGCTACATTTTGGGATCAGTTCTGAAAATAGCAAAAAAGTAAGGGCGTGATAAATGTTGAAGTCCCTGCATGGTACAAAGCATTTGAGGTCGGCTACTAACCAAAAGGTTGGTAGTTCCTATCCACCCATGAGCACCATGGAAGAAAGGCCTGGCAATCTACTTCCATAAAATTATATCCATTGACAATCTGATGGAGTAAAGTTCTACTCTGACATACTCCAAGAGTTGGAGTCAGCTTAGTTCAACAGTGAGTTTTTGTATTTTTTTAATAGTAAAGGTAGATTTTATATACTTGTCTTTTCTCTATAATAATCCTATCTTGGCCTAAATATGGATCCTAAAAGTAACACTGAGTTTGCAGGCATAGAGTTCTCAAATTGGTTTGACAAATTTAGGAGGGTTATGATAGGCTTACAGTGTCCTGAAATCAGAGAATCATAAAATCTCAGTACTGGAAGGGAATTTAAAGGTAGTCCAATTCAACCAATACAGTGAAGGATTAGTGGTAAATTCAGGTTCTGGAGACAGGTGACCAGAGTTTGAATCTTGTCTCTGTCACTTAACAAGTGACTTAACTTCTTTAGGCCTCAGTTTCCTCCTCTGTAAAATGGGGCAAAGTACTTACTTTGTGAGGTATTTTTGGGAATTAAGTGATTTACAGTAGCACTTGGCACACACCACACCATTCAGTAAAAGTTAGCTTAAAACCAGTTTTGCTGAAATTCAAAATGAGAAACCAAAACCCAAACCAAACTCACTGCCATCAAGGCAATTCTGACTCATAGCAACCCCTGTTGGGTCCCTTTACGGAAGCAAACTGCCTCCTCTTTCTTATGTGGAGCTGCTGATAGTTTCAAACTACTGACTTTCTGGTTAGCAGCCAAGTATCTTTACCACTACGCCACCAAGAGGAGGGAAGGCTTTGGCCCCCTTCGTAAGTGCCTTTGCCCTGCCTTACTGTGTGCAGTTAAATCTGGTTTGAGCTTCAGATGTGAGCATATTGTTCTTTTCCAGCTGGAGGCTACCTGCGTCTGGACCCATCCCTCACCCACCCCTGCTTGGCAGAACCTACACAAAGTTCCAAGAGGTTAGCTTCCTTTGACTGAGGGACAGATAACATGAGAGAGAAGTTATCTGGGAGAGCATGTGCGTATTTCTTAGGAAACTCCTGGTCTTTGCTCTGCATTGACAGCATGAAGCATTGGTCTATATCAGATACTGCTTATATGTCCAGCAAAGATCAGCACGGTGCCAGATGCTGCTTTACATCATAAACTGATTGAAACCCATCATTGATTCTTATTTACAGACCAAGCAAAAGTTCGGAGATACAATATTTTTTTCTGAGATATAAGTTGTATGGTCTTTCTCTTGCAGAATGGGCAGAGGAAGGGAGATGGAATGGTGTGTGCCGGGTGCTCCTGAGAACAGAGTCCATTTCTACAGAAGGCTAGGTGAGAGTCAGGGACCATGAAGAGCCACAGGGAGATGAAGGAGAGGTGAGGGTCCCTGTGGGCTGGGGAAGTCAAGAGGCTTCCCCAAGGATGCCAGGCTGGAGCCTCAAAGGCAGGACGCTACTATTGATCATTTGATTAGACAGAGCCCTGAAGGAAAAAGTCCCCACGGCCAAGCACTCCAGTTGGCCAGCAGATCTGTTCTGCTCACTGTCTACATGCAAAGCACATGACCTGCAAGTCTCCCCAGGGGACCATCCCAGGACTGGGTGGGACATAATGTCCTCCCTCTGCTTTCCCATGCGGCCAGTGGAGAGTGTGTCTCCGGAGCACAAACAGCTCCTGGCAAAGCGGGTGGCTTTTTCAGGATCCTGATGGGAGATAAGGTCCCTATAGATTAGAGTGGCCAGTTCTAGAAACTCTTAGCTCCACACCTCCACACCACACCCAGTGCCTCAGCCCCAGCTAATCTCCAGGTTTGGGTATGCAGTAAGCTTCCTCAAAAGTCCAACACCCCCTCCCTCACTCGCCCCACACACACACACCCCCGTGGGTCTCTGCACACCCAGAATGCCTGAGACATGGATCAGAAGCTCAGGAGCTAGCAGATGGAGAGGGTCTGTCTGCCTTCTATCAAGGTGGCCAATTTTGGGGTGAGGGTGGAAGGAAGGCCAAAAGAGAACAGAATCAGACAGAGAGGCTCATAATTTTCACAGTCTCTGGGTCCCTTTAGTCCAGCTCTCAGGGTGCCTTCGCTCACCCCGTCTGATTCTGGGTAGACTCTCTAATCCACTCGAACAAAGCAGCTCGGGGACCAGTGCCAGCACTCACACAGGCTCGCCTTTCCAGCCTCTCCCCCTTCCCTCCTACCAGGATTGTTCTGATACACCCTTTGCAGGACATTGCAAGTGAAGAACTACACTGCAGGATGACAAACCCAGACTGAGCTCTTTTTGTTCTTCCCTGGGGGAACTAGATACAAACGAGGGAGTGAGCAGAACTGAGGAGCCAGCTGCTCAGCCACTCTGCTCTCTGCTTTCCTTGTAGACAAAGACTGTAAGGTTTGCCACTTTTAGCTATGTGGTCTTACCTCACCTGTACAACAGAAGGTAATGGTGTATCCATTTCACAGGCAAAGGCTTAGCTAAATGGCACACTGCAAATGCTCAATGAGTGTTGCTTGTATGGAGTCATAGATGAATTATAGCACAGTGCTGAACACAAAGAAGTTCAGAGAGGGAGGGAGGGGGAATGAAGGACAGGGGAAGGGAAGGAGGGACAGGAGGCTGGCTGGCAGGACAATTCCTGTTCTAGGACCATCTCTGATGAGCAGGTTGATACCTAGAGACTAAGAGTCACGGGTGGCACAATCGGTTAAGCACTCGACTTCCAACCAAAGTTTGGGGGTTCAAACCTATCCATAGGTGCCTCAGAAGAAAGGCCTGGTGATCTGCTTGTGACAGGTCCCAGCCTTGAAGGCCCTAGGGAGCACAGTTCTACTCTGCACACTGGGGGTCGCCACGAGTCAGAATCGGCTCCACAGTATCAGGCTGGGTTTTACCGAGAGACCAGCAGACTCCAGTCGCCTCTCTGGGCAGAAAGGCACCGACAAATTTTATGAGTCGTCTATTACTGGGATGGTAGGAGGAGTGGAGTGCATGAAAGGAATTCGATAGTGATGGAATGGTCAGTATAAGATGGCAGGAGATTTGTTTGGGGAGTCGTATTAAGAACACAAAAGATGGGGAAGGAATCCTGGGATGTTGGCATAGGAACAAGAAGGAAAGCCCAAACTCACTGCCATTGAGTCAATTCCAACTCATAGCAACCCCCTTTGGGTTTCCAAGGTGGTAAATCTTTATGGAAGTAGAATCACCCCATCATCCTTCTGTGGAGTGGCTGGTGAGTTTGAACCAGTAACCTTCTGGTTAGCAGTCAAATGCTTTAGGTACTGCACCACCAGAGCTTCTTTAGAAATAAGATCTGCTATTAATTGTTCATATGACCAGCTAAGTTATTTCCCCTGTGAGCCTCTGCTGAAAGTCAAATGTGGGGTACTGAAATCGCTTCCAATGCCTATGACCTTGACCCCATGAACCTAGATAAAGGACAGTGAACTGAAAGTATACAACCACCAGCCTGGGAGTGGGTGTGTCTCGGAAGCTGATGGACAAGGAGATGTTACTTGGCCTCTAAGCAACCCCCTAGGGGCTGGTCTGATCCCAGCAAGGGGGCAGTGGGACACGGTGCCCACACGGTGCCCACGGGAAGGGCCTCTGTCTTCCTGCTCTCCAGGCCTGAAGGCAGGAGGAAAGCTAGGTGAGCTTGGGAACGACAGCCTCCCAGCTGCTTCCCTCGCAGCTCTCTGCTGCTGCAAAGCACCTTGTCACGAGAAGGGCTGTTCCAGAGCAGGCGGTGGGTGTGTTTCCTGAACCTCTGCTCTTGTCTAATGTGTTTTGGCATCCTCTCGTCAGCTGCCAGATGCTGCTGATTGAGTTTTTTGGGTTGTTGTTGCTCTTGTCTGCTTCCCACCTCCACCCACTCTCCTCTCCCCGCTGCTGTCTGAAGACATAAGCTCGTCCCATGACCAGGCTGTGGCAGCCAAAGGCAGCTGGCCAGGGCTGACTCTGGACATTACATAACGAAAAGGCTGTGGATGTTTCCAAAGTTGAATCCAAAGCAACAGGTTCCACAAAATTAGTACATCTAACCTTAAGAGGCAGCAATAATGACACCGAGATGTATGTCCCTGGGTTGGCGTAGGTTGCATCACTCCCCTCAATTTGAGCCCCCTGGGCATCAAAGCTTGTCTCCACTGGGGGAACTTTCAGGCCCAAGGGCTCTCACCCTCATTCACCCATTGGATGAATAAGCTTTTATTGATTGCCTCTTGCAGAGTTCCTGGGTGCTGTAAATAGTTAACACACACAGCAGCTAATCTAAAGGTTGGAAGCTTGAGTCCATTCAGAAGCTCCTCAGAAGAGAGGACTACCAATTTACTTCTAAAAAAATCAGCCATTGAAAACCCTACATACAGCGTTCCACTCTGACACACATGGGGTCACCAGGAGTCACCATCCAGTTGGCAGCAGTTACCCCTTGCATGACAGCTCCACCCTAATTGCTAGCCATGCAAATATGAATAATCAGGCAAAGGGCTGGCCTTGCACTTGGACCTGAGCACACCTAGCCTGAACTGCCCATGAGTCACACGCATGTGTCTTCTCTTCTACTCTGAAAGCAAGAACTGTGTCTGCTTGTGGCTCCCTTGGCTCCTGGCACAGAGTTCTGCACATAGGCAGGTACTTACAAAGGTGGACTGACGGACCCGTTGCTGAGTTATCCCAAGCGGAGCCCAGCCCTCTGCACTGAGCTAAGTAGGCCACCCCCCGATCAGCTCTTGCTTAAAAGTAATACCGTCTATGTCCTAGGTGCTTCAAATCCTGAAATGCCAGAGCTGGAAGGGTTCTTAGGAGCGCAAAGCCCAATCCCACACTTTAACAGATGGAGAAACTGAGGCCTAGGCAAAGGGATGATTCCAAGGAGCTGAGACCAGGAAGCAGGTTCTCAGCATTTCTAATCTGATGTTCTTTCGCTTAAGGCCTATTTCCTTAATGTGCTTCATCATGTTCATATGTGCAGTACTGAGTTCAGTAATACACATGTGCTTAGTAAACCTTGCTGACTAGCTGGAATGCAGGAAGACAATTAAACCTGGATGAGTAGGGAAAGACGCTGCAGCCCCTACGTTGGAATGAGGTTCCTGTGATCAGCACAGGCTCAGTGTAAAGACTAGGAAAATAAACCTAAGTTGTAACCTTGGCAATTGCATGTGACCTATAGGCATTGTTGATGCCAGAAAGTCAGAGCTCAGAAGTGCCCTTAAAGACAATCTAGACCCCCTCAATAGCAAGTAACAACACAACAAGACCCCTTCATTTTACAGATGGGGAGATTGAGGCCCAGAAATGGGCCGTGACTTGACCAACATCTCCTAGTTACCAGGTAACAAAAGTGCTGCTGGGTTCCCAACTTAGCTCTTTAATCATGACCTCTGAGCCACTTCACCTGCGCTATCTCTGGAACGAAGCAGCCACCATCCCTCCTTCTCATTACCCATCTCTTTCTGCTGGCTCAGCAGGGTGGAAAGGCTGGGCCTCAGACATTGAGCCAACACACACCTCGTGTCCAATCTACCTTGTCTTCCTCAGCCAGAACTGTTCTGGCCAAAAATACAGAAACCCTCCGAGATCCAGGTTGATGTCACTCACCTTCATCTGCTTGATGGTGTAGACCAATGTGCCAAAGGGCCCATCCTTCACCAGCTTCTTCCCCACCACTTTGGCCCTGATCACTGCAGAAAAAGACAAGACAGAGACAGGCAGGAGGTTATGGAGGGCTAAACCACATAAACCACATAAGGGTGGTATCTCAGGGCTGGCATTCTAGCCTCCAGGGTGTCTGGAATTGCCTTCTTACCTGTCAGCCAAGTAGGACATAGAGCCAACTGGGATATGTAAGAGCCAGAATTCTGATGAGAGAGACTGGGGGAAGGAGGAGGGGTGGAGAAGAAAGAGAAGCAGCCATCATCCAAGTTAATTACCCCAAATGGCCACAGTTGCCTGCCCTGGAAATTCCTAGGCTTTCATCCTCATCCAAAATCGACTTCTCTTATTAGGGTTGCTTGCCCTCCCTGCATTGCCCTCTCAACAATTCTATGGTCTCCTCCACTTGTTTCTCCTTATACCAAGGATCCTTCCTAACCATCACTACATGTGAGGCCCTTCCTTTGCACGCATACATTACACTCCACCTGACATGCCCACAGGGTTGGGGTGCACCCCAGCCTCCCTCAATGCCCTAGTAAGTTTCTGGCCCTCTGTACCAACTTTTAGATGGCAAGGGACTCAGTGAAGTCTAGCTCAGTGAAGGCATGATGGAGGAAGAAGAGGTTGGGAGGGGAGCTCGGAAGCCAGAATGAACAGTTCCAATCCCAGTGCTGCTGTTTATGGCTGTTAATGACTGAAGGCAAGTAATTTGTGTAAGCCTCCATTTCCTCATCTGGAAAATAGGGATAATAATAGTACCAATTTCCTGAACTAAAGGAGTCAGGCAAGATAATGCATGTGAAACTCTTGACACATATCTGGGTTGTAGTTCATAGTCAATAAGTGCTATTAATATCTTCATCATCTTTGTTGCCAAGAACTGAATGGGCTGACTGTGGGAGGATTACTGCAATAAAAAGAGCTCACACTTATCACACGCCCGTCACTGCTGCTGTTGTTGGGTGCCATCTAGTTTGTTTGGACTCACAGTGACCCCACCCCCACCCCATTTATAGGCAGTCCTGGTAGCTCTGTTATCCTTCCCCATTGTACATGCCCCACCATGTTTCCTAATCTTTGACTCTAATTTCTTGAAAGAGTGCCTAGGTGGTGCAGTTGGCACCTGATCAAAAGGTAGGAGGCCCGAGTGAGTCCACCCAGAGGCATCTTGGAAGAAAGGCCTGGAGATCTTGAGAAATCAGCCCCTGGAATCCCTGGGGAGCAGTTTCTCCTCTTGACACACACAGGCTGGCCGTGAGTAGGGTTGCCGTTGGCTCGGGAGCAACCAGTAATCTCTTATTTTAACAGATATGTATGTATTCTTTACTAGAAACCTGTTCCCCATCTCTACCACATTGTCCTGTTCTTCCCCAAATGAGCTAGGATCCTCCCCTCCCAGTCAGACATGCGGTCAGGACACACACAGTCAATGACCCCTCCAGACCTTCCCGCACAGAGCCCAGTAGCAAAGCCAGCCAGGGCAGCTCAGATTGGGAGAAGAGGAGTGGCTATTTCCAAGTCTGCTGTAAAAATGAGAGGTTGGCATGATCCCAGGCGGAGCTCCCTGAAGAGTCACATTCACCTCTGTGTCTAACCTTGCAACGCAGTATCCTTGATAGGGAGCTGCTTCCTCTCTATTGACTCCCACGGGCAGGTTGTAACAGCTTAATTGCCGGCTGGAATGTATGTATCTGCCAGGACATTACTATTAATACTTCCTGAATTGATTTGGACCCGTCTTCTTTCTCATTAACACAGAAGGTAAACTAGGGAGTGACTCTTGGCTTTGGAAACAGGGGAGGCCAAAGAGGTTCCTTTAAATAGGAGTAACTACCCTTTCCTGGCCCCTAAGTGGCTTGCCTTGATTTAGACCTAACATGTCATAAGCAAACCTGTCCTGTAAAGCTGGGCACTTCTAGAAGCTTTTGAACACACAACCAACCAATTCATTCCTTACCCTGAAATGCCCTGAGCTTGGAACATTTTCATATAATTTAGTAAAAAGCGTACGTTTTTATAGCCAGCAAGTCACATTCGAATTCTACCTCCACTGTTATTGTGTGGACTTAGGCAAACTCTGAGGTCTTTGCTCCTGAATCTCTCTGGTTATCTTAGCCCTGCACCTCTTACTTGGCTTACATGTGATGTATTTATTACTGGTACAGCCCCAGCCTAGGAGAGCACTGAAGGGCATGGGCTCTGGAGCCCAACTGTATGGGTTTGAATCCAGCTCTGACACTAAGTGACCTTAGGAAAGTTACTAAACCTCTCCGTGCCTTAGTTTCCTGTTCCATGAAATGGGATGATAATAACAATACCGCGTAAGGGCTGGTAGAAGTTAAGTACATGGACAAGCAGTGAGAGTAGGGCCCGACTCATGCCGAGCCCTCTATGTGCACTGTCACTGTTACCAGAATTGCTACCACTACCACTATTGCTAGGGAGCTCTGGTA